ACCCCGAAGTAGCAGCGCCGCCATAGATCCACGGCGGGGCACCATATCGCAAAAAGCTCGGCCCGCGGATGTCGGAACCACCGAAAGCGCGGCGGCGGCGGCAAGAAAGAACGCCACCACCCCGCCATAGTCACCTGCGCGGCCAGCGCCCTCTGGTGCGCGCCCCGCCACCGCCCTCCTCGTGGCCACCGACCATCGGCCGGGTAGAAAACACCATGACAATGCCTCCAAGGAGCGCTCGGCACATGGCTTTCACCGGTGGCGAAGACAAAGGGGGGGAGGAGGACCGGCGGTGAGGGGGCGATCCGGGCAGCTCCCCGAATGGCCGCCCGAGCACCGACTTCGCCAAATCCGCCCACGCCCGCCTCGCCGATCCCGGCGGCGAGGCAGCGCCGGATCTGCGCTCCCAGCTCGGCCAAGAGGAAGCCACCGTCGCCACCACCCGCCATTCGCGGCGGCCCAAGCGGCCATCGCCCCATGGCTGCCATCCGGGGAAAGAGAAAGAGAGGGAGGAGGAGGAGACTTCGCCAGGCCGGCCGCCGCCATCCTAGCATCTGCGCTGCACGGGCATTCGGCATTGCCTGCCCCCATGGCTGGCGAGGAAAGAGAGAGAGGAGAGGCCGGGAGGCGGTCCCCAGGCATTGGGGATGGAGGCACCACCCGAGTCGCTGACTACTCGGTTTTAAATAGTTGGCTAAGACACTTAGCGGTGGTCTCATCTAGGAGCTCTAAAAAGCTATAGCAGGATATAGTAGAGCTATGTCATTATGCGGTTTGTCAAACATGAAGATTTTCAATGAATTATGTACAAAAGCATAGAACTAATTAAATTTCATGGACACAAACGTCATAATCAATATAGTCACAGTTATAATCAACATTATATTCATTCAACAATAAACAACAAAGCATTACATAGTTTATATTGAAGTAAAGAACACAATAGAGAGACATAGATTGCACTAATCCAGAACAAAGAATGAATATTGTCTCGGTCATGTTATGTTGGTGGCCTTCATGTTGCAGCCACCGCAAGAAACCATGGGTCGCAACGTGTGATGTTGGTTATCTTAAGTGGAGACCAACTAGTGCATGAAACCGCCGGCCACGGCCGTCTCTAGTAAGCTTTCATAGGATGCTGCAACTGTTTTTAGAGATGAATGGTTTTTAGAGATGAATGGTGGCCTGGTTAGGGATCCATTAGGACTAAGACTTTGAGTTACTGGCATCGTTTGTAGGTTTTTGGGCCTCCATTGTGAAGGGAATGAAGTAGCCTTGACCCACAGACAAGCACTAAAAAGTTGTGGCTAACCCAAATAGCGATTTTTGTCAGTGATATCGCATTGTTAGCTATAATAGCGAAAAATTGGCAATATCGTAGTGTTAGGTCTTTGAAAACTCTATAGCTTCAGCTATAGTTGGGCTATTTAGAACCATGATTGCTTGATCTGCACAAATTGGTTGACCGATGGTAGCAATTTGAAGTTTTTGAACTTATCTTCTAATGCTTCTATTTTGTGGACTTCTACTCTTCTAAAGAAAAAACTGTCTTGGGTCTAGATCCCCATGTATCTTGTTTCGGCACTTGGTGAGAGCTATTGGCCAATTTTGCTTCTTTTTTTTTGTGACTGTCGCTTTGTTTATACCTACGAATACCCTCAAGTTGTAACTTTTTCCTCTCCTCTTCCACGTCTAGCACAAACCATGCCAAGCTTGTCTAGATTAAAATAAGCTTTTATAAAGATGATTTCATGCACCTACCTATGAAAGGCACTTCCCTAGTATTATGCGGCTGTCGTGCTAGTGCACAGATTTTGATTATCTATATTTTCTAATAATGTGATTGTTGTTGTTTACCAACTCCTAATGTTTGAAGATTAAGGTTTAGTACATACTCTTAAGCACCCTCAGAATATGATTCCCAACCATGTGCATTGTCCAGTTGTCAAACATGGAGTTATGTTTTTGTAATTTTTTACCAACATCTATACCGGTTAGAGCAGTAGCTCCATCTCAATCTTTCCTCCTTAAGTCTAGTTTAAAACCATCCATACTATGCTTTCTCAAATGACAATATTGCAAATCATCTTTAGGAATTTATAATAATAAGCGTTTCTTAATACCAAGAGGTTGTCTCAACATTAGGCACTTGCCACAAATATTTACGAGTAAGATGCACTGGGGTCCCTAAACTTGTGAGGGTGTGTCACTTATCGTATGTTTGGTTGGAGAGATGGAATGGGATGGGACGATTCTACTTTCGCTAGTATTTGGTTTAGAAACGAAGTGGAATGGGACGGTCCCAGGAGAGAATATTCCTCGTACATCCGGGATGGATTGATTCCTTGAAATCTCGCAGACGAGGCCGTCCCACGCACATGGTGTCTGTGTTTGTCGCTTGTGGAAGAGTCCATCCCTGTGCATGGCAGGTGGGGCCTCAAGTTCGGGCGGCAGCCATGGCACGCGCAAACCTTGGCAGGCGACGGCTGGAGCGTGGCAGGCAGCGCCCATGGTGGGGGGAGCTCAGCAGGCGGCGGCCGAACCTCGGCTGGTGGCGGTCATGGCGGATGGGAGCGGCCTCCCTGTGAACTCGACACATGACTTACGTCCATCCTTCCGCCGTGAGATCGACGCACGGGCTCCAATCGTCCTTCCTCGCGAGCTGCATGGGGTAGCACCGGCGGCCATTCCTCGAGCCGCACGCAGGAGAATTGACGGCCCTTCCTCGCCAGCAGTGTGCGGGAGCACCGGCAGGTTGAGGCCCTTTCCCTTGCAGCGGATCTCCCTGCTCGCCGCGAGCCTCCTTCCTCGTGAGCTTGCGACAGTGGATCCTTCTGCCTCTACCTGGAAAAAGATAAGGCAGAGCAAAAACAAATAAAAAAAAAAAAAATAAGGATAAAAATAGTGAGTATGCCACGGAAAACATGTGGGCCCACATATCAATGTGACTATCGGTGCTGCAAACAACGTCCATCCCATCCCTCTTCATACCTCCAACCAAACAAAAAAAACAGGGACCATCCATCCATTTCAACCAAACAAGAACTGGGACGGTCCCATCTCTCAAATAGGGAGGGAATCATCCCATTCCACTTAGTCCCTGAATCAAACACACGGTTAGTTTCATCAACTCCAAAAGTGCATTTCTAGGTCCATAAACTTTTTAATCGTTCATCGAAGGTCGAAATCAGCCCCACCACATCCTAGGAGCTGACATGACATGCTGATTGTGTAGCAATGTGGATCCTAACATGTGGGACCCACATGTTAGCCTCACCCTCACCCCTTCCCCCCTCTCTCTTCTTCCTTGGCCTAGCTGCCGCTGGTCGGTAGGGTAGAGTTGCGCCGCTTTTGCCCCATCTAGAGCGCCACTGCTGCTGATGGCGGCCTAGCTCGCCAAGCACCTTGCCCTTGACTGAGTCACCGCTGCTTGTTGTGAGCGTCCGACGATCTCAAAAAATCATCCGTAAGACAAACAATTTCTATCAAAATCGTCCACAACACGGTGGGCGGAGGTGGCTGGGTGCGGTGGGCAGGAGGGTGGGAAAGCCGCAGAAGCCCTCTCGTTGTGGTCCGTCAGGGGCACGTCGTCGAGGCGGCCACCTGCCTAAACAAACTCCATGTCTGCCCGAAGGCTGTCCTTGACCAACAGCAGGAGGCTGTCCTCGTCTGGGAGGTTGGAGTAGGATCTCGGCAAAATCCATGCACACCCAATCAAAACAAGCTCCCCTCCAAGATTTGATCTTCACCACTCGCTCCTTAGACAAATCTCCACCAAGAACCAAATCTTGGCAAGGAATCGAATCAGCGGAACTAATCAGAAACCAAAAGGCCTCTGCGACGTACGTCATGCCCAACATGCCATGTCAGCTTCTAGGATGTGGCATGGCTGATTTGGACCTTCTGTGAACGACTTAAAAAATTTATTGACCTAGAAATGCACTTTCTGAGTTGATGCACTAGCATTTTACTCAATATTTGCATACTCTTAAGCTTAACCTTCTCATCTTAGTAAATATAAGGTTAATTTTTGTATTACATATCTAGCCCTGTAGCTTCCAAACAACAACAACAACATAGTCTTTCAGTCCCAAGCAAGTTGGGGTAGGCTAGAGTTGAAACTCACTAAGAGCCCCAAGTCACGGTTCAGGCACTTCAATAGCTGCTTTCCAGGTACTCCTATTCAAACATAGATCTCTAGGTATATCCCAAGCTTTCAAATCTCTTTTTATTGTCTCCTCCATGTCAATTTCGGTCTTCCTCTATCTCTCCTCATATTATTAGTTTGGCTTAGGACTCCACAATGCACTGGTGCCTCTGGAGGTCTCTTTGGACATGACCAAACCACCTCAAAAAGCTGTTGGATTATGTTTTGTGTGTTTTCTAACAGTTAATATATTCAGATGCTTTATATTTATTACCTATAAAAAAAAGGGTGTACACCAAGTGCAGAGAGCTCCCGCTCTGTGTAGGGTCTAGGGAAGGGTGTCAATGGCAAGCCTTGCCCTCGCCTGTGCAATGCGAGAAGACCGCGACTCGAACCCGGGACCTTCCGGTCACAGGCAGTAAGACTCTACCGCTTGCACCAGGCCCGCCCGCCCTTTATATTCATTACCTATCCAGGAATTATATGTTTATGTCTTTACTTTGCTACATTGACTCATTTATAGCATACTAGTGTTCAATAAAACGTCATTCCCTGCATTTTGGTTGACACAAAATATGCAGAATCTGCCTGAGACATGCAAATAACAGATTTCATATTTATCTGCACTGAACCATATATTGGCATCTTGTAAATCCACCTATAAACTCTTTTCAGGTGGAAACTCTGTATATAGTGCTCAATAAACTTTTCACAATTACATTCCAACTCTCACATCTCTGTAATTCAGTTTACTTTGTGCAATCAGGTGATTCTGTACAGTTCTATTGTTTTTCTTATAGAAATAACGTTACTGTTTGCCTTTTCAATTCCACTGTAGATTTTTCTCCCACACATGTGCATGCAGGATATCTGGTGTCATATACATTCCTTAATGCCAATTCAAGATGCTGCCCGAGCTGCCTGTGTGTCTCAGACCTTTTTGCGTTCCTGGAGATGCCGCCCTAACCTCGATTTTAGTAGGGAAACATTGGGCTTAATAAATGAAAATACGTGCAGAAATGAGGAAACACAAAGGGACATCACCAGCATAGTTGATCACATTCTGCAAAACCACTCAGGCATTGGAGTGAAGGCAGTCAAGTTTCAAGATGATTCATATTACAATAATCAAGACTTCTGTCATCTTGATCTCGAGCGTTGGCTTCGGAATACTATTAAACCAGGGATTGAAGAACTGAACATTTCTCTGTATGGAAGGAATACACTGTACAACTTTCCATGCTCACTTTTATCTGATGAAATTGGAGAGTCACTCCGTAGTCTTCACCTTGTCCGCTGTTACTTTCATCCCACAATCGGACTTGGTTCCTTGAGAAACTTGAGAAGAATACAGCTGTGTGGCGTATCTATTACCGACAGCAAGCTAGAGTGTCTTCTTTCCAATTCTCTCTCTTTGGAGCAGTTGGTACTCAGGGATTGCAGTGGGATTATTTGCCTGAAAATACCTTGCCTGCAGCGGCTTAGCTACCTTGAGGTGAACGCTTGCCTTGGGCTGGAAGTGTTAGAGAGCAAAGCTCCAAATCTATCTAGTGTTCTCATTGCAGGAGACCTCCATGTACAACTCTCACTTTTGGAAACGTCGCGTATTATAAAATATTTTAGATTATGTCCTGGTGCTGCCTTTTATGCTCGTACTGAGCTTCCATCCAGCATGCCAAATCTCGAGACTCTTACCTTAGTTTCAGGAACTGAGGTATGAACTTTCTGTGAGCAATATGCTTAGAATGATTTTACAGCAGGCATACAGTGGAATATAATTAAAGCAGACTTCTTTTTCCCCCTTTTTGCAGACGGTTAATACGCCGGTAATGCCTAGCAAATTGCTCCACCTCAAGTTCTTGGCTATTGCTCTTGATGGACAGACCTATGATTGTTTTTCTCTGTTATCCTTTTTTGATGCTTCTCCTTTCCTGGAGACTTTCATCTTGAATGTAAGTCATTGTCCGTCCTGCAAAACATTGTTAACTGACAGAATCGTTAATTCAAGTTTGCTTTTTCATCTTTATTAGGTATTATCGGTACGTGTGGAGCGTGTCTCAGTTTTTGAAGATCCCTCGGATCTGAGGAAGATGCCAGAGAACCATAATGACAAGCTCAAGTGTGTTCGAATCACCAATTTCTCATCTGCAAAGAGCTTGATTGAGTTGACCTGTCATATTCTCGAGTCTGCAATGTCACTCGAGTGCCTCACATTGGACACCACTCATGGTGCGCCTAGATGCTCTGTCAACAAACATGGCAGATGCTGGCCAATGACGAGGGATGCACTTATGGAAGCGCATAGAGCACTATCGGCTGTCCAGACATACGTCAAGTCAAAAGTTCCTTCAACAGTCGAGTTAAATGTTTTTGAGCCCTGTAGCCAGTGCCATGCTGTTTCACTTTAGGTGGTCAGGGGACCACAATTATTCACTGGAACGGTCAGTGTGAGTTTTATGGTGTCTTACAGTACCTACTCCCCGCAAAGAGCATTCATCTGGCTTGTCTTAAGTTAATCTATCTTAAATTTGACCAAATTTAATAAAAAAATATCAACATTCACGACACCAAATTTAATGATTTTTTATGATGAATCTAATGAAACTTATTCGGTATCACAAGTATTGGTACACTTTTGTATAAGCTTGGTTAAATTTAAGATAGATTAACTTAGAACAGAGCTAAATGGACACTTTTTGCGAGATGGAATGAGTAATTTATAAGAGCGTGAGTTCCCAGAAGAACCTTCCAATCTTGGGTTTTTGGAAAGATTGAAAAAAAAAATACATCTCTAACGGCTCCCATTCTGAGCTCCTGTCTCTTTTGGCACTGGGGAAAAAGTCCGGATGGCGGCGCGGATAAATGCGCGCAGACTCGCGACTTGGAAAACGCTGGCGCCGGTTTTTCTGCGGCATTTTCTCCCTCGCGCCGAATAGAATGAGCCGCCGCCGCCACCTACTGGTTGAGCAGCCGCCGCATGCCGGTGCGCGAGATGATCAGGCAGGTGCCTCTCACGCGACCGGACGGCCCTGAGGTGCCAGTGCCCGGAGCTCGCGCTGGCGGACGACGACCCTTGCGGCTTCGGCTGCTGCGTGCTGCATCAGGACGCGCTGCCCGGGGACAGGGCATGGATGTACTCGGCTCAGGGCCACGCCCCGCTCGTCGGCGGCCCCGGTGGGGTCCTGGTGCCCACAGCGTCCGCAAGCAACAGCAAGGCCATGGTGCGGTAGTAAGTACGCGCGGCCGCCGGGAAGCAGTGCACGTGTCCTCGGCGTCATCGGCGTCGAAGTTGATCACGTCGTGGCGGGACAGCTTCCGCAGCAGCGCCGTGTATTTCTGCACCCACCACGGCTTGTAGATGGTGACCAGCAGCTGCACCTCGCCCTCCAGGTGCACCACGCCGGGAGTAAGAAGTTGAGCCTTTTCCCTGTGTACCATTAAAAAAGATGGCCTTTTTTTATAGGCCACTAAAAAGTTCGGACATACCTAGATGCTATGACACTTTATTTCTTTGCCCCAAGCCATTTCGTTCATTTTCGCTGGTAACGGTGTGTAACGGCGAGGAGAAAAGACCGAAGTGCCCTCAGTCTAGGGAGGATGAGTGAAATTGCCGTTTACCCTGTGTGCCACTCCTTGACCAAGCGTTTGAGCGCCAAGACGGCTGACGTGAGCAAGTTTTTTGGCGCCAAAGGCACTGGACTTGGCGCCAAAGAGACCCCGCTTGGTGCTGTTCCTTCTTTGTCAGTGACTTATGGCAGTATTAATTGGTTCTGTAGAGAAGATATATGTGTTGTCGTTTACTTGCAAGTAGTGGCCAGAGAAGAAATGCTATACTGAAACTCTGAATACCATTAGCTTTGGCCTGTTGTGGCTGAGAGCAATTTCTTCACTCAATGTTTCTGTAAAGTGTTTCTCACTTCGCAGTCACTTCTCAGTCATTGTATGCATAGATTGTATTTTTCGTTATATTTTCTTCTTTAACTTCTTAGAAATTATGTTGAATTATGAGTGTCTTAAGTTTCAGAGCACGCCTAGCTCAGAACTCAATTTTTGCGTTCCTTCGATGTAGGAAGAGTCACAAGATTTCTACAAGAGACAACAGCTGAGGGAATTGGCTATGCTAAACTCAACTCTGAGAGAAGATAGCCCTCATCCTGGAAGCGTCTCCCCGTTCAGTAACGGTGGCATGAAACGCGCGAAACCAAGCCAGTAGAGAAGCTTTTGGTTCTCTACCCTTCAGTCGTTCATGGTGCAGCACCAGCAAGGTGCCCTTGAACTTGCGCTGTCCGTGTCATGGGTGCTTGTGTAAGAAAACGTATGCATTTGCTGCTGGACAGGTAGTCTGGTACCAAGTGTGTCGTCCCCTTGAGATGAGGAGAAATTGATGGCTGTTGAACTGTCTCGATCTTCGGTGGATCCAGCCATGCTGTTGTAACTTGTAAGGTGATGGACATTCGTTTTATTCGTTATTGATTGTTAACCCTAAGTAGATCATGATGCTGAGGATAGGGGTTCCAGGGGAGACTAGTTAAGCCCTGATAATGTGAGCTGTTCGTTTAGGTGTTTAATTAGCTTGTATTATTCACGTTACATTGTGGAGTTGCAACATCACAGATGACAACTTTGAATGAACCATGTGAATTCAGAATGTTAGTACTTCAGTGAATCGATGGGGCGTTTATATAATGTGTATTTTCAAATGAACTGCCCGCTAAATTATATTTTAGTTACTCCCTCCGTACCTGAATATACTAATGTCTAGAGCTATTATAAGTCAAACTTTTTTAAAAATTTGATTGAATTTATAGAAAAGAGTCAAGATTTATGACACCAAACTATATTTTTATAACATGGTGTCACAAATATTTATATTTTTATTTTTTATAAATTCGGTGAAACATATTTATTTATTTAGAGAGAGATACGAGCAGATGTATCTGACTTACCCATCAGAATAGTGTGTGGTTCAATTGATGCCCGCTTGCTATTTATAGAATGAGTTGGAAGGGAGGGCTGAGGGCTTATTTATAGCACCAAGCGGGGTCTCTTTGGCGCCAAGCCTAGTGCCTTTGGCGTCAAAAAACTTGCCCACGTCAAGCCGTCTTGGCGCTCAAACGCTTGGTCAGGGAGTGGCACACAGGGCAAACGGCAATTTCACTCATCCTCCCTAGACTGAGGGCACTTCGGTCTTTTCTCCTCGCCGTTACACACCGTTACCAACGAAAATGGACGGAATGGCTTGAGGGGCAAAGAAATAAAGTGTCATGGCACCTAGGTAAGTCCGAACTTTTTAGTGGCCTGTAGGAAAATGCCATCTTTTTTTAATGGTACACAGGAAAAAGGCTCTAAGAAGTTGTCCTTGCGGGCGTACGGCCGTCGCCGCTCTCGTCGAACCCGCCGGCGACCAGGATGCAGGCGCAAGCGCGAGCGCCGCGAGGAAAGTTTCCCGTGGTCTAACTTTTTGATATTTAGGAGTTAATTTTTTGGAAACTGTTGGAGATACGCTTCTTTTTTTCTCCCCATTATTTTTGAGGACTTTTTTTTAAAGACAAATCACATATTCAATAGACACAACATTCAGGCAAATCGCCTACAACAAGTTCACTTATAACCTTAGGGCTTTGGCTGGTTAACAACTCAGTATCAGAGGATAACATACAAACTCCATAAGCAGCTAAAGCATCAGCCACCTTATTACAACACCTGCTACAATTTGAGATAACATAAGGTGAAAATTCAAATCGCATTATTTGTTGGGCTTGTCGTATGAGGCCTCTAACACCACTTCGATCAATTTCATTCGCTTTAAGAGCAGAGGCCAGCACACAAGCGTCCATCTCTAGGATGATGTGCGGCATGCCCATTTGTGAAGCAAAAAGTAAACTTTTGTATGTCGCCATTGCCTCAGTATGCTGAAGCTGCATAGTTGATCTTTCCAGCCCCTGTAGCAAGCAACTCACCATAATTATTCCGCATAACAAAGCCCCAACCTTCAGTTCTTGCCTTTGGATCAAAAGCTCCATCAGTATTAACTTTATATATGTCCTCAGGTGGCGGCTTCCAATTATCTTTGATATCTTGAATTGTTTTCTTCTCAGACACACTTACTTTTTCAAACTCCATTTGGAAGTAATTGAGAATTTCCTCTGCATTCAACATCCTTCCTCGTCATTGGCCTTCTTCCTCGCTGACCACCACCTCCAAAGGAAAATTATAACCTTCAATTGAGTATCTTTTTCTAGCTTCCAAATAATATTGTAAGTTTCCCATGCTGAACTACAACTCAACAATTGAACCCTGATGGGTTCCATGTTCATTAGACACTAGCATAGTTTAGCATACTTACACTTGAAAAGGGATGCCCGCAATCCTCACGGGACACCTCGTGTCAATGACAACACCGCGCCTTACTAAATTTCTTCATACTGGCAAGCTGTTATGAGCAAAACACCACATAAACATTTTGACTTTGTTAGGTACTTTGAGTTTCCATGTTCTATACCATTCAAAGGCACTGTCATCCCTAACGGTCCCTGAAGTAGAAGCATCCCAACCAACCAATCTATCTCTTCTTACCACTGCAACATTGAAGGCAGATTTGACAGAAAATAAACCTTTTGTATAGCAACGTGGATCCTAACATGTGGGACCCACATGTTAGCCTCACCCCTTCCCCCCTCTCTCTTCTTCCTTGGCCTAGCTGCCGCTGGTCGGTAGGGTAGAGTTGCTCCGCTTCTGCCCCATCTAGAGCACCACTGCTGCTGATGGCGGCCTAGCTCTTCAAGCACCCTACCCTTGACTGAGTCGCCGCTGCTTGTTGTGGGCGTCCGATGATCTCAAAAAATCATCCGTAAGACAAACAATTTCTATCAAAATCGTCCACAACGCGATGGGCGGAGGCGGCTGGGTGCGGTGGGCAGGAGGGTAGGAAAGCCGCAGAAGCCCTCTCGTTGTGGTCCGTCAGGGGCACGTCGTCGAGGCGGCCACCTGCGTAAACAAACTCCATGTTTGCCCGGAGGCTGTCCTTGACCAACAGCAGGATGCTATCCTTGTCCGGGAGGTTGGAGTAGGATCTCGGCAAAATCCATACACACCCAATCAAAACAAGCTCCCCTCCAAGATTTGATCTTCACCACTCGCTCCATAGACAAATCTCCACCAAGAACCAAATCTTGGCAAGGAATCGAATCAGCGGAACTAATCAGAAACCAAAAGGCCTCTACGACGTACATCATGCCCAACATGCCATGGCAGCTTCTAGGATGTGGCATGGCTGACACTACGGGAGAAGCAAAATTTGTCGAGTGTCGCATGCTTTGCCGAGTGCCGAAAATAGGGCACTCGGCAAAGCCACTCTTTGCCGAGTGTTGCACTCGGCAAAGAATTGCACTCTTTGCCGAGTGCCGCA